GTGTTATCATAAAAAGATCTGTTTCTTGGTGGTATCCCTGTGTCATCATAAAAAGATCCATTTCTTGATGGTATTCCTGTGTTATTATAAAGTGATCTACTTCTTGGATCACCCAGAATGTCCAACTCAACATTACTTTGGACATCGTGAATACTATGTGAAAATGGTGGTAATGTATATTCCAAGTCAAGAGAYCGTGCTCCGACTGGCTCCTTCTGCAYATTCTGCCTCTCTTGTTGAAAGCTCCAAGCTACACCTCTTGGAGTTTCAACAAAACTTGACCGATAGCTCCTTGGACTTTCAAGGTCAGATGCAATACCAGATGAACTTCTGCCGATAGTGTCGTCACTGTCAGCTGATGTGTGATGATCACTGACATCACTGTTTGATCTTTCCATTGCTTTGAAGGGATGTCTGTTATGTTGCTGAAGTGGTCTTATGGGTTTATTGCTATTGGGGAATTGTGGATGTTGTGGCTTTTTCAGAGAGACATTTTGCTGTTGTAACTTGAAGATGTGCTCTAAAAGGAAAAAATTCGGATTTTAAGAGTGTTTTATTGTCATTGTTATTATTACATACAAGCAGAGGAGACTTCCACAGCGGATCCTTAAGAAAAGGAAAGCCGCTAAAAAAATACATTATATATTAGGTGTAACCTGGATGTGTTTAAAAAGTGCTCTTTGCAGACAATACATCTTAAAGCACTCTGTATAAGGGTACTAAAAAACTATTATTAAATAACTTTTGTATGATCCACCAAACAATTCCAGGCACTATCTGGTCATGGCCTGATACAAATCTACATGCAAATAGMATMAAGAACTAACAGGCAAAGACATTACATTGCTTCTCACCTCTGTATCTGGGAGGTTTATCTGTGTCTACGTGAGATGATTCAGCAGCAGTGTGATAGGACAAGTTGACTTTCTAAAAAACAAATTTTATTTTAACTAATTTTAATCTGGTTTTCATATTAATAACAAATATGATTATTCCTCTGAATTATGGGCGGTACAGAATACTAGACAAAACACTACTTAACCTTTAAATTCATACAAATGTGACTGAAATTGAAAAAAAAACTTCTTAGAACATGCTTTGTGGTTGTGCATTTGTATGTGTGCTCATCTTTCCTATGTATACATGTATTATGTCATTCATATTTCTGTCTAGTGTTTCTTGTTGCTTTTATTGTTTCTACAGTGTATTGTAACTGTTACCACACGTCAGTTGTTGTGCTGCTGTTGTTGTAATTGTTGTTGCTGATGCTGCTGTTATTTCTTCTGCTGTTTTTGCTAATGTTATAGTTGCTATTTCTGTTATTGTTGCTTTTGTATTGTTTCTACAGTGTATTATTATAACTGTTACCACACATCAGTTGTTGTTTCTGCTGTTGTTGTTGTAATTGTTGTTGCTGATGCTGTTGTTATTTTTTTCTGCTGTTGTTGCCAATGTTATAGTTGCTATTGCTGTTTTTGTTGCTTTTGGTGTTGTTGCTTTTGGTGTTATTGCTGCTTTTGGTGTTGTTATCATTGCTGTTGTTGTATTTGTCGCTGCTGATGTTGTGGTTGCTGTTGTTGCTATTTTTGTTGTTGKAAGACATACCTTAACAGATGGAAGGGCATARAATGATGTGTCTGACCAATCAGAACCAAGTATTAGACTATCGACACTAGACTGACGGCTTGTATGACTAAGGCTTGCCTCATCAAACAAGGGTTTGACTTGATCTAAAACCAAATTCATCGTAACAAAACCATTACAAATGAATAGCTATAGAAGATGGCTAYTGGATGAAAGTGGGAATGAATGAATGGATGGATGCATGAATGAACAGACAGAATAAGAGATGACAAAGGACACACTTAATGTTCCACACAAGGAAAGCATTCACTGAACTACTGCAAAAGAACTTTTTTGTTTCCTTGTGGCTCTTAGTTTCCACAATAACATATTGTTAATTGTGGAATAACTGCTGATAATATCAATCATAAATCCATATTTTACTTACATCATTCAATAATCTATTGGCAAGTCAATGAAATAAAGCATAACAAAACAGAGAAAGCCAAGGTTCAWTGACTTGATTGTGAAATCTTCTTTAAGTTCTCTTATCATGTTACTATTAATCAATGCATGTTAAGAAACTCACCTGAGAAATATTGTTCAGATATCTGGTTTGATTCAAGATGTCCATTCTAAAACACATGTAAAATTTACATCAAACACAGTTTTAAAAACATGTTTAGAATTATACAAATTCTCCTCAATGGAAAAAAGATTTGAATTCAGCAATAGAATAAAGACAAAGCCATTGCTAATACTGAACACAATGTAGGTAATACAGTTAGATTTCTATTGTGAAAATAACTATAAGAGAGTACTTCAATTCAAATCATTTCCAATATCATCACAAAAAGTACAATGGCAACAAGTTAGTTCAAAGTACCAAATCTCAGTTTATAATTACATGCTGAATAACTATACACATTCTAAGGAAAGGGGGGTTTGTATGTTTGTGAGATATAGTGGATTAMAGCAAAATCAAAGCACTCTTTAACCATTAACCCAATTTAYACATGTACATGCATGCWTACTAYAAAGGACCCACCACATAACTGGACCATCCTGTAGAAATGACAAACAAGTCCTATTTAACCTGTCTGTGGAGTAATATTTCACCAAGTCTAGAGACTATAACAAGCTCAAAGCTTTGAAGACATCAACAAAAGCCAGCTTGGGAGGGATAAAGAGTTTGACAGCTTTTGACAACATAACAAAGAAGCTGACAAGTGAAAAGTCCTAAGTCCATAGCAACACCACATTGAGGGAAAAACAGTATCTTGTTGTTGTGGACAATGAAATTCAGCAAGAAATAATAGTTTAGGTGATTGTTTTTAACTTCAAAGAGTCTAAAAGGGTTTTTTTCATAAGGTTTTCTTTCATGTAATGAAGCTTTGTTTGTAAATCACTTTTAATTGTAGAGGTATTATATATACARTAACTTTAATTAAGGGTCTTACATTCCTTTATCACTAATATACAATAGAGGAAGGTTTTTATCTTTCAATAATGCAATTTGATATACTGATAATAAACACAGGAAATAGTCATAGAGTCATAGAAAGTAAAGGAACACTTTTCAAATGTAATTGGATACCTTTTAAGTCAAAGGAAGAAATTTGATATTTTTCCAGTGCAATTTTCAGGTGATATAAAAAAACAGGGACAAAMTAATAAAGTCACTCTTCAATGAATTTAAGTCTAAAATATTATTTCCAACAAATGAAAAACAATACTTTTAAAATGTGTACCTGTGTGGAATTAAACAAAATTTCTCAATGAACCAACAACAAAAACACGACAAATTTAAGGAATAACAAATTAAAAAAATGAAAAAGTCCAAAAGTAAYGTTAAAATCAGCACAGCAAACATACAATTAGCATGTGGAGCAATTTGAGAAAACATTTTTTGAAATGGTATAATTATTGAGTGGTATAAAAGGTACAAACTTATAGTATTGTGTATAAAACAAAACAAAACAATTGTTGGGTTACACTTGGATAATTTTCCATTTGAAAAGTCTTAAAAGCTGGATTAATATTTTTAAATAAAATGAACTTTGGTAGCTGCTTAGCTATTCTTTTGCTCTTTGGTTTTGTTAAGATTTTTCATAAGTTTTGCAAAATGCATAATGAGCCAAACATTAGGTTTTTACATGAAACAAATTCTACCAATATTTACTGCAGATTTTTGACATTCTTAAGAATTGTGAATTTGAAAAAGATATGGATTTGAATGATTTTTATCTGCGGATTGTTGGATTCCAAAAATACCCTAATAATTGCCCTCCTCGATACACATAATGATATATTTTTAAATTCCATTCACTACCAAAATCTTTGTGTTCATAAGTAGTTTTCAATTAAAAACTGATCATTAGTAATAATTTTACCTTTATTTCAATAATTTAGTGTTTGCACTAGACTACCTTGTAATTTCACAATGCACAWTTAATTGCACAAGAAAAACTAGCAAGGATTACTAATGATAACAGATGTACTAGAAATGTCAGTTTAGTGTAAACATAGTTGCTCAACAAGCTTATTAAAGACTGCCCTCAAAAACGCATTAGTTAAAATAATATTAAGTCTTATAGTGCATAATTTAGAGACCAGATATTTTCATATTTTATATTACATTACAAACATTGTACAATCAGAATAGAGACTATATTTGACAAAATATCTTTGTTGTACAAATAAAGAACCATGGGTTTCGCTGTATAAAAGTCATAGATCTTGTATGGATTTTACCTGCTACATGTAGATATATAGGATTTATCCAGCATATAGCCAGTTACACAGCGTGCCATTTTAAATATCTCAAATAAATTGTTAATAATATTGATTTATTTAAGCTCAATTTCATGATGCACATAATTTATCTGTAAGCTTCAATAAATTTATATGTACAAAATAAAAGAAGGAAAAAACGAAGAAAAATAGAAAAAATTATTTTAA